CACCTCAGTATCGTTGCTCCTTAACTTCCTTACAGCATATGCCCCCTCGATGTGTTGTTTTGCCTTGTGAAGCAGCTCTGCCGGCTGTATATTTTCTACCCTTTCGACTCTTATTCGTATTGCTGCTTTGGTTGCCGGTGGTACGACAACTGAGGCATAAGTTAGTTATCCTCACATTGTCTTTGCCGACTGAGGAGCCATCTTACGCACGACTCCTCGAGACTATTCGTAACTGCCTTCTCAAAGGCTAGCATCCTTTCCTTCATTGGATTTGCAGACATCTTCGATTATAAACCTGCGTGTGGGCTTTGAATGCGTCAAGAGCCTCATCTATTTCCATCATCGATACCGCAGATATAAAATTGCCTGTATTCACTTGTCTGCCTCGAACCTTAGATCTGTCCCACTATCTTTAAGAAATCCATATTAACGCCTGTAGATGTCGCGAGAAGACTTGCAGCCGTAATTGTGGCTGTTCTGCTGCCCGTTTTTGGTTGTGGTGATGCTGTCAAAACATTTCAGCAGCTAAATCCAACTTTCTGGCTCCCCAACTCGCCATGCCGAAGCGCGACAGAAAAAATTCGGGGAATCAGGTAAAAGAGATCGATTAAGACGAATGCAATAATAAAAACGATGAAATTACATTCGTGGAACGTGGTGCCGCTTTTCGTGAAAAAGTGATTTTATTTTCCAATATCTAAATTTATTATCAACTTTAAAGCTATTTAGATAGTTTTAGCTGTCCTTCATAGTCATAAACTCATTGAGGACATTAATTAAGTTCTTTTCTATTCTTTTCTTATCGGTAATAATATTTGCTGCTTTCCAATTTTTAGGGTCTGCCGACGCCCGATGAGAAGGCAGTCACCCTTTCTTGAAAAGCTTCCATGTACTTTCCCGCTCCTTGAGTTTCTTTTTATCGGATTTTAGCTGCGTATACAGCTATCTAGCTGTGACACAATATCAGAGAAGAAGTACACAAAAGATGACTAAATGCAAAGGATGAGCACTTATGCCTCGGATTTCATTTGCAAGTACCACTGCGAAGTTATCGTGGCCTTTTCTTCACCCCAAGTCAAGCCTCATCCGTGACTACCCAGCGAGGGAAACGCCTCGAAAAGCTTGAGTTGTCCAGACATGCCTCCGTCATCCGTTGGCTAGTCACAGCGCGAAATGTGGTCTGGAGCGAGTCCTTCAGAGGTAGAGTAGGTGCCTAGGCTACCTGAACTATACTGGGGATCACCACCAGGAGGCGGACCATAGCGCTATCCATCGTTGGCTTGTTTTTGTAGTGTCAGTTGCACCCTCGCAGTCGAAGTCTTGGCGCGTACAGTACTCTTCGATATTTAAATTTCCATGCCCAAATTCGAAATCTCATGCCCGTTGAGACTAGATCCTTCCCATGCATCATCTTACAAACCTGTCCTGATCACTCTCACGCCCATCCAAAAAGCTTTCTCCCAAATTTGCGTGCCACGATTTTTGTACTCCTGCAGGTATTGTCGATGGGGACGTTTTATTAACCAGCTGAGACTTGTGAACAGTCGATGAGATATGATTATTGAAACGAAAATGTACTTGGTCGTACTTGTAGACTTAACATGACTTGAGTAGTAACTGATCTTGTCGAGCGAGAGACTGATATGTAGTATATTGAATTATCGCCTATTGGGCCATTGTCTTTGATATTGCGATATTTGACTGAATTTTGCTCATGGTAGAAAATGTGACCCTCAGGTTTGCGGAGGAAACCGCGGACAGGTATTCAATCTTGCCATCCAAGATTTTGAAATATTAGTCAGGAGAGGCCACAGCTCTTCTTGAAGTTGGAACGGCAAGAGGTGAGTGTTTGGAGATTTTAATCATCTTATCGGGTCTTCTTTAACTAAACATTATTACCTCTCAATAAAGACCAATGCATCAGTAATTTCAGCTCCACAGTAGATTCGTCTTCAGCATAGAAAAACCTAAGCTTCAATGTTTTGTTTTGATTTCATTTCGTCCGTTCAGGTACGCTATGGGCCCATGAAGGTATATCTAGCTTTAATATTTACACAGGAAATTAGTCCTTCATAGTCATAGACTCAGCAGGGACTTAAACTTCAATTCTATTCTATACTACACAGGAGGAGACCAAATTCAGTAAAAACACCCCAAATCTGACTGTGTCATTTCTACTGGTTTTCCCATAGGAAATGTAGTTACACCGTTCATCCAGTGTGAATTCCGTCTTTTCCTTTTACAAATTGTCTCATATTTTCGTCCATTGCTATCTCTACTTCCGCTGCGGGCCAGAACTGTTCAAACCAGCCTTTAACCAAGGTCCATCTTGTTATTCTTTCCATATCATCTGGGCTGTTCATCATTGCTGCAAAGGACCTATATTTTGCCAGTCAAAGCACCTCTCCTCTTCCCATTGCCCACTGAGGACACGCCAAACCATATGTTTGAAATTTTGAGACGGGTATCCACACTGAGATTTTGGATTAATCAGTCCGGGGACTTTCCTTCGATACAGATAATTAAGACTGACGTGCACTCTTCTTACCTGAACTGCAATACTGCTTTGGGCCCTGCTAAGGTTCCAGTGAATATTTGAGGGTGTGTTTCAATAGATAATCCTTTTTCTGCCTGTTGTCTCATCTGTGACAATACTTGCGGCTTTCAAATGTTCATGGTCTGCCGAAGCTCGATAATCAGATAGCATCTCGTTCCCTAGACGTGTCTATGAATTTTTCCACTCCTGGAACGCAGCCACCTTACTGGTATCTTTTTGTATCCCTTTCGCGTTCTCCATGCCACAAATTCTGGTCCATTCTTCGATGTCTTGCTTTCGATTCTTGGCGTGCCTGTTCTCGGTTCCCCTTGTGGTCTGCATGACTTTGTTGCACGCAGATAATATCAATCTCCTGACAGGTAATCCTTCTGATAGCCCGATGTGTTAGACTCTCCTTTGTTTCAGGTAGATATCTATCGGGGGAACCGAAGACTCGTGTTCTAGTACCCTGCTGCTGGTAGAGTTATATGAGCCTGTAACAAGCTTCAAGCATTCGCGTTGGATACTTCGCAGTGGTTTGTCTATCCTTTCTGGTATTTTAACCGTTGGCCCAGCTGCAGCCCATATAGAACACCCATAAGTCAGGGCTAGTCTCACTATCGTGCTGTAAAAAAGCTTTGACTTCTTGAATGTTGCACCCCAAGTTGACTGGGTCAACCTACTTATTGACTGTACTTGGTTATGTGACTTTTGTTGGATATGCTTTACATAGGAGCCTCATTGGAGCTTAGGGTCGAAGTATATGCCAAGGACTCAAAGGGAAGACTATTGAGATGTCAGATGACCTCGTATGCAGACAGTTGCTTCAAGGTTATGTCGCTTCCTTGCTCATGTGACGTGCATGAGCTGGTACTTCTCTGGCGCAAACTTCACACCGTTCTTTTCTGCCAACGCCTCGCATATCACGTGTTGTCCCTCTAACTTCTTGCAGTTTTCTTCGGTTATACCTGATCATGTTAGTACATTAGTATCGTCAACAAATCTAACTGTCGAGGTACAAGAAGTTTGAAGTATCGGCAAGAGCGTGCTGACGAAGAAGAGGAAAAGAATCGGTGAAAGTGATGAGCCTTGTGGTATTCCTGTGCTAGTGGTGATACGTTTTCCTCCATAAGACTCGAGATTTACCGAAGTAATTCTCTCTTCGAGAAACGATTCTACGAATCGGCTGATCCCCCTTGGAATAACTTATACTGTCAGGTTGTGTATTATCCTTTTGTGGGAGACGTTGTCGAAGGCTCCTGATATGTTGAGGCTGAGAGGTGAAGCGATCTGGTTTTTATCTCTATCCCAGATGTTGTGAAACTGTTCAGTTAGAGGCTCTACTACCGAGATCGTGGGGGGGACTATTCTCAACACCTGTCAGTGGTGTCCCCTACGAACCTCCAGCTCTCACTGTAGAGTCTGCAGAGCCGAGATTGAGTAACAAAGTCCTCACTTCGAAGAGGATTCCCAATCGCTTTCGCGGTCTGTATCGTCTTCATCTCTCAACACATTCCCCTATCACCATTATCATGAAGCTAACCACGATCAGATCAGATGGTAGGGTCGGAGCTCTACTCATCACCAAACCTTGATCACGGAGGAAAAGCCATCCGATGAGTTTCCGGAGCGTACCCAGCACCCGATACGGAGATGGTGGATTGGATCAAGTCGGCCTCGACTGTTACAAAGAAGGGAGATATAGATGAATATGCGCACCTCATGTGGTCCCGGTGTCTAGGCCTCGCCTGGCTGGGGCTGCAGGTTTTTTGAGACTTTTTCCCGCGCACGCAGTTTCCATTGCTACCATTTTTATTTTTTTTGGGTAGAAGGTTCCGTGGAAAAGGTGGCTGAATTCCACGGGTAAATACTGAGCTGAATGGCTATTCATCAAGGGGAATACATCAATGATCTTTCAAGTAACAAAAGAGGATAGGAGCACTGTACAAGGTGTGGCCTGGGTCAGAGAGGAGCCCAATGTGCTAGATAGTCATAGACTCAAGTAGTACAATAAAACACACACACACACACACCGAGATCGTGGATCTGTTGGGTTAAATCTCAATGTTTTCAAGTGAAATTTTCATAATTTTAGACACTTCGGGTTGCGTCTGGGCTTATTACATAATTAGGGTCCGTGCCACTGAGCTAAGCTATGTCGCCTCGTGCACGACACAGTGAGGAGCTAATCTTGACATGATTACAGTGCAAGACGGAAAGCTCCGTAAACGAGCTAAAAGTAAATAATCTTCAAATTTCGAGCCACTTAATAACAAATGTATCCATCCAAATTACCTTATAACCCACTTATTTCAAATTCACAAGACAATCTGATTATTGCAATTAATAACCCATTTTTCTGAAAAGGTCAGCGCTTATTAACGTCAGGAGTTTGGCTCGTGGAATCTCTCATGAGGAAAGTGCTGGCCAGACGAATCGAAAGATAACTTACTACCCGTATTTTATGTCTCGCAACGGTTTGGAAGACGGCACTCACCCTCGACAGCCGGGCGCATTGACCGAAAACGCCACAGCTGGTACTGCGTCAGATATCTCAGAAATCTCGTCCCTCGCTGCGGTTCGTACTGCTCTTGCCGCTCTACATTCGCGCGATGCCATCATTACCAACCGTCTGAAGACGCTCAGCTCTACGAAAGCGGACACCTCGCATGAGCTTGGACGCCTCGATCTTTTGCGCGCACACCTAAGTTCTCAAGCTATTCACACGCGTGAGGTGAGTCGTGGGATGCTAGATGCCGCTGCAGCGACTGCTGCACATCTCTCAAGTCAAGTTAAAAAGCTCGACCTAGAGAAAAAAAATGTTGAGGAGACGTTGCGGGTGGTTGAGCAGGTGGTCGAATTGAAAGCCTGTGTGCAGGGCGTTGTGGGCTCAATGGGGGCACTACAAGACTGGGAGGCTGCAGCTGGATACCTCTTTCGTGCCGCTAAGATACCTCGCGAGATTGTCGACGGAGATTTTGCAGCGCGTATCGTGCCCAGCGTCGAAATTCCCGAGGCTCCTGGCACCACACTAAACAGCGCTAGAGAGTCTCTTTGTAGCCTCTTCATTCGGGAATTCGAAAAGGCGGCTTCAGAGGGTGATGGAAGCAAGGTTACTCGATTTTTCAAGCTTTTCCCACTTATCGGCAAGGAAGAGACGGGCTTAGAGGCCTATGGACGATACATTTGTAAAGGTGTCGCTGCGAGGGCGCGTGATAGTCTCAGGGGAGATTCTAAAGGAAAAGATGCCCTTTTCTTTGCACTTGTCTTGACACGCTTATTTGAGCACATCGCACAAATTATTGAGGGTCACGGGAGTCTTGTCGAAATACACTATGGCAAAGGAATGATGATCAAGGTTATTGAGATATTGCAAGAAGAAGCCAATGTACAAGGTGGCATCATTTTGGACACTTGGGGAGATGAGAGGAATATAGATAGGCGCTTAAGGGATATGAAGAGCAACCCATTCTCCTACTTAGTTCAAAGCTTCCTCTCGGGGCAGAAGAATGCGAGTAATTCTAAACCTGGAACACCTGTCGGGGTCGGAAACAGCAATATTCATGACGAAGAGGGCATAAGCATGAAGGAAACTGATGAAATATTAGGGGAGATTTCAATGATGCTCAGTCGATGGTCACTATATTCAAGGTTCCTGGGTGGTAAGTGTAGAGTAAGTGTAGCCCCATTACTAGTACGAGACGCTATTTTCTTAACATTCTATAGGATCCACATCAATCTCCAGAGATACCGCTCCAGATGCCCAAACTTTTGCTTGATTCGACCCTCTATCAAAAAGTCTCTAACCTACTCATCACTTCATTCAACTCAATGACCACTTTTTTCTTTCGAAGATCTGTAGAAAAAGCTTTTCAGCTCGACGAGTCACCATCAGGACTTAGCCTTAATATTTCTAAGCCTATAGATAGCAATCCTCCTTTTATCATTTCGGCTGTTGACGATATCATGTATATCGTTAGCACGGTCCTTCAACGATCACTTTCCACATTCCAACGAGAAACAATAACCTCTGTCGTTCCTACAATTAGTAGAATCCTCGGCTCTGATTTTATTGGCATCGCTCAACGTAAGATGCGCGATGAGTGTTATCCCAAAGCGATAGTAAAGGGAGAGCTTCCACCCGAGGATAAAGTAGTTTCTTTTATTGTCCTCCTCAACTCACTAGAAACGGCAAGCGAATACATATCGCGTATCGTTACCTCCCATCTTAAACCCGAAGAACCATCAACAGATCATGGTAATACTCTTAAAACTTCCGTTAAGGAAATGTTCCAGATGGACCATGATGCGGATTCTATAACAACTGCTCTTGAAACACTAGAAGTCACATTTACATCTCAAGCAATGGAGCTACATTCAGATGGGCTGCACGTTATGCTTAGCCAAGTAATTAAGCCTCGACTTCGGCCGATGCTTACGGAAGCATTCCGTGAAATCGACTATTTACTCACCGACGATGAGGGCCAGGATATAGCGCAAGAAGAAGAAAGACTTCGATCCATATTAGAGCTCGTTGCTCAAAAATTCGAGGAGCGTTGGGAGGCCGCCATGAAACCTATCCAACGTATCATGAATCCGAACTCGTTCAGCACACTTTTAGATCAAACGGCCCGATATCTTGCACAGTTATTAGAAAAGAGAGTATGGAGTTACGCTGGTAAAATTACGGCGCTAGGAGCACAGCGGATGGAAAAGATTTTTTCTGATATAATTCGCATTGTGGCTAAGGGTGGTCGGTACGGGCTTCGAGAGTCATTTTCCCGCGTAAGCCAAATATGCATGCTAGCTAACCTCGATGATGAGGAATGGAACGCCATCAATGCTGCTGAGGATGGAGAAGAGAGTATGACCTGGTTCCTGAGCAGCCTGGAACGCCAAAAAGCAAGAAAATTAGTCGGGCTATGAAGGTTAATAAATAACTTCGCACTGAATCTACTCGTTTTCAAAATATTTGGTCACTATCAGTTGAATCCACAGTAAAAATAGAGGACGGAGCTGGACCGACCCTGTAGATGTCGCTGGTCACCAGGAACACCCCGTATACTGAAGGGAAAATGATCAGTGATGTACTGGTAAAGTGGTTTGAATCTCGGCTCGACAGACTCTCTACTTTTGTATTCGATATTCGGAAATTAACCGCGAAAAGCGCGAGTTGCGCCAGACTCGAATACTCTCAGTATTCACGCGTAGATACTGCTCGTAACTTCTCCGCTTTTGCATCTTTATCCCTGTTTTATACTTATTCAGGAGTACTGAATGCATAGTGTTGACAGTCTGTTATAAGTCCTATCCTATCTATATTGCGGTTTAAAAGCAGCTACCTCGTTGTCCTACAGAAATTCCAGCATAATGGCTGATGTTAGATCCTAACGCGAGCGACACTAGATTGACGAGGCTTTAAATCTTTTAAAATTCGGTCTGCCATGTGAGAGGAATTTATAAGGTAATAGATTTATGCACATGAAGCTGGTTATTTTGTATCCGCGCCCTACTTGCGTAGTCATCGAGAGTAAATTCTAATCATGGTGCGTGTACTACAATATCGTTGTATCTATTCTACTGGACGATGTGATTTTAATCTAGCTGATACTTCATCACAAGCTAGGCTACGCCGCTGATCAAAGCTGTAGTCTGAGAATTCTCGACTAAGGACGATTACCTCACAAACTGTCTCAACTCCACCTCGGGTAATTGGGTTAGGTGAGAATAGTTGGATGAAGCCCCCTTTGGCTATGAAGAGCGAGAGATGTATTAAAGAAAATTAGGTCAGACGTCCAACTTACTGAAATAATGAATGGCCAGGCGTCACAGCCAAACCGGATACAGCTAGCTGGTGCAATAGTATATCATCCGGGTGTGTTGCTTAGGCAAAGTTCGGATAAATTGGACATTTACTCCATAGTAGACAGGGTAATACTTTTCTGAAGCTGAAAGAGACAGCTATACTTTTTTCTCGCATCATATTTTAATTGCGTAAGCAGCCATCTAGCTTTGACATGTAATCCCTCGCCTACTGTACAATTCGACGTGATTACATAACCAAGGCCGTTCACGATGTCCCTACACCCCAGAATTTAAGGCCTGACCTCTATTTCCCAAAATGGAATAGTAGCAGGGTGCAGAATCCCCATGAAAGTCTGACGGAGACGATTATTACCAATCTTCCATACAAAACCACAGGCAATACATAGTCCGCGCCTAATAACACAATGGAAATTTCAGATTTTATCGAGAATATTATAAACCCTGCGTCTCACGTCGACTCACTCGCCGACTCCGGGGCGGGTCTTGGAAGTAGGGAAGGCACGGATGAAAAGGACCAGCAAGCCCTCACTCGAGCCTGGGTAAACGAGAGAGGCACTGTTGGACTTTTACCGTTCGCTCACCTCCTTGTCTCTTTCCTCTCAATCATGTAGCAGAACTAACTTCTACATTGTTTTGTTCGGCAGGCCTCAAGATGCACTTATCTCACGCTGTAGCACCCGCATCAGAGCCCAGATTGAAATGATTGAACGCATGACAGGCGATATGGACCCCAAGACCAATTTCTCCCTAATCATCATACAGACGGATGTCGAACGCTGGAAGTTTCTCATTCGTTCGTACCTTCGAGCGCGCCTCGCCAAAGTTGATAAATATACCCTATATTATCTATCTTCGCCACAGCTCCAGACTCGTCTCTCAAAGAATGAAATGGCGTACGCCACGAGGCATCAGCAACTACTACACAACCATTACCTCAATTGCTTCCTGGGTAGTTTTCCTGCGAACCTCCAGAATCTAAATGACGCTGTGGGGGGTATAAGTATGGTTGAAGGACCAGACGAAGATAGTGGAGTCTTCGTTCGGGGCCTAGGGGGCAGGAAGGGAGAAGATAGTGTGGTTGTCATGGGGCGAGGGAGAGATGCAGACGGAGAAGTTGAGGTTACCAGGGGTGAGGTTGTCGTGGCGAAATGGTCTGATGTGCGAGAATTTATTGAACGAGAGGAAATGGAATTGGTTTAGCAAGAGATTTATTGTAGTCTTGTTGCTGCAGTGACTTTGACATATTTTCAGGACGAAGGCTGGACACCTGGAAGCGAAGTTTTCCCCCACATCCGAGTTCACTCAAGACAAAGGAAGTATTTAATGGGGCCCCGTCGAGGTGGCGGTCCAGAGGAGTGGCTTTGCAAGTCCTTGGTCAAAAATTCGACCGGCTGAGGTTCCAAGAAATCAACCATTTAATTTCATATTACGAACGTTAGGCAGGTTCAAACTAACCTGATGCTCATACTATGAGGATTTGGCCTTCGCTACCTTGGTTTGCCCTACGATATGTTTTTCGCCAAATACATCTTGCAACTCTTTCAACTGTAATCTCCTCACCCGCCAAGACACTCTCGAGATCCTACTCGAGCATATCTTCACGTTATTGGCAAAAAGACGGATATTATGCAATATTTCTGTAATGAAGGTAAACACAATGTGCAGCGTCTCATGCTACAATGTCCCAAGTTCAATAGAACTCGATGAGAAATAATCAAGGGTACAGAGCCGAGGACACTGCCAATTATATTTCGAGCTAGTTGGGGAGAGGAAGCGTTACTAAAATACCTGGATACACCCGAGTGGAAGGCAACACATGAGGGAAATTAATTGAGATCAAAATTAAATTAGTAAATTGTAGTGTGAATCTCCCAAAATTAACTGTTGGATTGAATAAATGCAAGGAGCTTGACGGCGGAATTTTATAAAATCCATCACAGTCAGACCGCAATAACGAAAAGAGAAAGTGACAGGAGGGCAGCTCCAGTGTAGAGATGTAAGAATTGTAATAGTCATGAGGAAAGAGCATTTCGAGACAAGCACACCATGTGCAGACGTGCACGTGCTGCATTTGCGCACGGTCCCTTACCTAGGGTCAGCTTAAGGCGAAGCCGTGACTGTAGCCGAATATACCATGAGAACCTCTCAGTCGAAGGCTTAGAATAACCACCAAAGAAGTTGGACAGGCAAGTGCCTCGAGTCAAAATTAGAGTCTGTCCATACGTGCGTGGGTTTTTTGATTAGGTCAGTGCCTGTAATCTGTATTTAGAACCGCAGGTGGTATACGTGGGTGTGATAAAAGTAGATGATGATACCATCTGTGGGCGGACCCAGTGATGTGGACTGGCTTACGCTTTTTGTTTTCGCATTAGATTTTAATTGTGTATGCAGCTATCTAGCTGTGACACAATATCAGAGAAGAAGTACACAAAAGATGACTAAATGCAAAGGATGAGCACTTATGCCTCGGATTTCATTTGCAAGTACCACTGCGAAGTTATCGTGGCCTTTTCTTCACCCCAAGTCAAACCTCATCCGTGACTACCCAGCGAGGGAAACGCCTCGAAAAGCTTGAGTTGTCCAGACATGCCTCCGTCATCCGTTGGCTAGTCACAGCGCGAAATGTGGTCTGGAGCGAGTCCTTCAGAGGTAGAGTAGGTGCCCAGGCTACCTGAACTATACTGGGGATCACCACCAGGAGGCGGACCATAGCGCTATCCATCGTTGGCTTGTTTTTGTAGTGTCAGTTGCACCCTCGCAGTCGAAGTCTTGGCGCGTACAGTACTCTTCGATATTTAAATTTCCATGCCCAAATTCGAAATCTCATGCCCGTTGAGACTAGATCCTTCCCATGCATCATCTTACAAACCTGTCCTGATCCCTCTCACGTCCATCCCAAAGGAACTGTCTCCCAGATTTGTCCGCCACGCTTTGCTTCCTCCGTCGAGTGTAAATATCGGCGTGGGCGTGTATTCGGTGGTCAGCTGAGGCCAGAGAAGGTCGAAGGGTGTTGTGGTCATGGGAATGAGCATGTACTTGTTACGGGCTGTGCCCCGTTCGATTAGGCTGGGCCTGAAAGATAGCCCAGCCTCGTTCAAGGATTTCAATCACGTGATCTAACATGGGGTCGTTTCTCACGAGTCGAATCACTCAGTTAATTATGCTGAGGCTGGCTCTTTCGCCTCCAATCGCGTGGCCAAGATTCGTCTAGATGGCTCTACCGGTCCCGAATTTGATGTCTCCTGTGGCCTCCCACAAGGCTCGCCAGCATCACCTATTCTGTTCATGCTATATCTTGCACCTCTTCTCCACATGGGAACCGCCAAAACAAGATTTGGATACGCAGACGATATCGCCTTCCTTCACACCTCTCCATCCCTCCAGTAAAATTCCGAATCTCTTTCACTCAGCCTCCAGGAAGCCATGGAATGGGGCATAGAGCAGGGCTTGAAATTTGACGAAGACAAGTATGAGCTTCAACATTTCTCTCGCCGCCGACTCGACCAACAACCCACAAATACTCCCATGGTAAGTGCTGGCGCTATTACCGTCTCTGAAAATACTACTCGCCCATACACTCGCTGGCTTGGAGTACTCTTTGATAAAAAGCTCTCCTTTAAGTGGCACGCTCGAACCCTCGCCTCAAAGGCCCTCAAGGTTAGCCATGCTCTTTCATCCCTTGGTAATACAACAAGAGGGGCTCCTCCTCATCTACTGCGTCGTGCAGTAGATTCATGTGTCCTCCCCATCGTTTACTACGCCTCAGAATCCTGGTGGCCAGGCAGATCTAGACAAGGTCCCACGGGACGCATATCAAACCGTGTAGATTCCCTACTACAACAGCTCTCCAAGGTCGTGCTTGCCTCTGCCCGCGCGACACTTCCAGTGTATCGCACCACACCAACAGCGATACTTCATCGCGAATCAGGGCTACAGCAGCCGGAAATAGCCCTTGATGGCCGTGCACTTGCAGCCACCGTCCGACTACGCCGTCTGGATCCTCGACACCCGCTCTTACGCCGTGCTAATAGAGTTCTCAGCTCACAGCGTGCTACCTCTCGATTTGCCCGACGTGTACTTTCACTCCCCAGATCAGAGCAAATCAATGCAATCGCTATTCCTCCTTGGAATCCATGTGAGAGTCGTGAAGCTGCACAATCTCGGGTGGCTGGTTCGAACAGTACCACTACGGAGGAAAACAAACAGTCCTTCCTTGACTTTCTTACCACCATCCCCTTCGGAGACATCATTATCTACTCGGATGGCTCTAAGCAACTAAACGGCTTGAGCGGCGCTGGCTTCATCGGATACCAAGGAGGCGTACAAGTCTCGCATCAAAGTCTTGCCCTTGGAAAAGGCGTCGAAGTTTTCGATGCGGAAGTAAAAGGTGCCCTAGAGGGGGCAAAGTCCGCACTAGCACTCCCAACTGCCAAATTCGCGACAGATCTATGGATTTGTCTAGATAATCTGGAAGTTGCCACTCGACTGTTATTCCCCTTTTCAGGGTCCTCACAAGCGCAATTTGACGAGTTCCTCACCTTAAATCCCAAATGGCAAGACCGCTCACGGCTGGCCCACACTAGACGGGGCCAAATCCGGGTCCGATGGGTCCCGAGTCACGCATCGATAGTTGGAAATGAAGCTGCGGACAAAGCAGCGAAAGATGGCTGCCAGTTACCAACTCCAGATGACGTCGCTTTCACATATGCGGGGCTAAAGCGCTGGGCAAAAGAGTCAACAACGCAAGCCTCTCGCAACCTCTGGAGAAATCTCCTTCCCCAGCACCTAGGCTACGAAAAGCTAGGAATAATATCAGCACCCACTAGGCCAAAAGAACTTGCCCTTCCGCGCGCCACTCTAGGTCGAATTCTAGCAGCTAGATCTGGGCACGGCGACTTCGCTGACTATCACGAGCGGTTCAATCATGAAAATGCATCAAATTACTGCCGATGTGGCCGTCGTAAGGCCCCACTACATTGCTTTTTCTGTCATATAGCAAAAAGAAGATCACGACTAATGCAGGGTCCGCCTTCGGAAATGATCCCGTTCATTCTTGGCACATATGAAGGAGGTCAAAGATTTGGAGAATGGCTACAGGAAACCCGATTCTTCACAGATATCTGCCCATAATCTTGAGGTTTCAAGTGTCGCGAAAAACCAGCAAACGAAGGAAGGAAGATAAGCAATCTAGACTCCTTTTTTTCTAATTTATTTTTCCGGTAGTGGAGGTCAACAGGGAGTGTGGGTTGACCTGCGCAGAGAATGGCGCCGTGCAAGTATCTTACCACCACAAATAAGAGCCTAACAAACTGCGGGAAGTAGCTATGTGAATGCACCTCCTTTATATGTTAAATAGTTTAATTTTGTTTTTTTGCTTTCCTTTAAAACATGTAGAAGCCCAGAGATTAAATCCTGGCGTCTTTTGTCTCAGTAGGGACTTAATAGGGTTACTCGCTTGACGCGTGATCCGCCAGACGTTAAATAAAGATAAATAAAAATAAATAAATAAATATGCTGAGGCTGGGAAACAGATCACTCAGTAGCGAAGGATTACGTGTCAGGAATCAAGATCACTGGTAGCTGCATAGGGCATATTTAATGTAACAGATTTCCTGCCGTTAATCTCTGTAGAAAAATATTAATTCTTTGTGGTACTGTTTACGTGCGGTGTCCTTAATCCTCTCGCCCTTAACAGTACTTGGCCGTACTTGTAGGCTTGATGAGACTCAGGTAGGAGTGGAACCCGTTGGGAGCGAAAAACGACGCGGTGGAGTAAATTGAATCATTGCCTTGTGGGCCAGCTTTTCTGGTACTGCGACATATGACTGATAATGGCTCTGGGAGAATATTTCTCACTCAGGCTCGTAGCGGACATCCCATATCGGTATTCAGTTTTGCCCTCGGGGTCCATGTATTATACTAGGCTAAATTAGGCTAATGCTGCCATGTGATGAAATCTATGTTGCACCCTGTCACCACGGGCTCAAGCTTGCTGTGAAGTATTAGCAGGGGTTTAGCGTGATCACTGGGCCTACTTGGGCAAGGACACTTTCCATGTTGGGGTTAGCCCTGGTACTTGTACATATTTTTGAAAAAATTTGTATGGCAAAAATTTTCAGGATACCATAGTTTGTAGTGGGTCTTTCCTTCAAACTATCCCTAATTGGTATGATAATCGGCTGCATAATGTTTGTGGATTG